GCCCGCCCCGCGGCCCAGCACTGTCCAGCACTGCCCAGCACCCCAAGTCCCACAGCCGCCCGCGCCCCTGCCCTCGAGGTCACAGCCCGGCCGCCGCCCGCGCCCCTTCGGCTGCCGGGGGAGGGGCTGTGGAAGCGGCCGGTGCGCGACCCGCTGCTCACGCCTCCCCGCTCCCTGCTCGCTGGCCTCGAGGCCCCAGTCCCTTCAGCCGCCCCCGTCCGGCCTGTACCTCTCTGCGCCCCACTGCTCCTTCAGCGTCCTTCAATGCCGGGGCCAGGGGGCTGCGGGGCACCCCGAGTTCTGAGGGTCCCCACATCGTGCATGGTCCCACCTGTCTGCCCTAGACACCAGTCCCTTCCTCCTGTGCTGGCCCTGTCCCTGAGACCCGCAGCGGGTCTACACAGGGCGACAGTGCCGGAAAACTCGGGATGCCCAGCTAAATCTGAACTTCAGAGAAACAACTGACAATTTTTAGTTTTTCTTATTTGTTAAACATATTCTATTTTTTACATCAATTTTAGATTTAAAGAAAAACTGCAGAAAGTAGGGAGTTCCCTTAGAGCCCCTTTCTCCCTGACGTCCCCTGTTGTTAACACCTTGCATTAGTGTGGCCAGTTCGTTACAACTGATCAGCCACCGCTGATACATACGATTAAGCCCAGAGTTTACATGAGGGTTCACTCTGCATGCTGTCCTGTACCCACCATTCCAGTGTCACTGCCCAAAACAACCCATGTCCTCTGCCTGCTCCTCTCTACCCGCAACCCCCGGCGACCACTGATGGTTATGCTGGGTGGGTGGGTGGCTGCGGCTTCATGCCCGCCCTGTGCTGGCTAGCCTGCCAATGGTCCTGGGGATGCCGCGTGGCAGAGAGTAGGGGGTCAGTGCAGATGGGCAGCCTGGGCAGGCCCCCAGGAGGGCCTCGAGGGTGAGGACAGCAGCCTGCAGGGACGCATGTCCTCCTGGGACAGCTCCAGGGGGTGAGGAAGTGTTTTTTGCCTTTTCTAGAATGTCGCCGTGTTGGAATCATACAGTAGGTCGCTTTTTCAGATGGGCTTCTGTCACTTACCCATACACGTTTAAGCTTCCTCCACAGTCTTTCCTGGTTCTAGACCGCCCGCTGTCCAGAGCCCACAGTTTACCCACCCACCTACTGAAGGGCCTCTTTGCCGCTTCCAGGTTTGGGGAATCATGAGTGAAGCTGCCATGAAACATCTGTGGCAGGTGTTCGTGGGGACGGGTTTTCAGCTCATTTGGGGAAGCACGTAGGAGCACCATTGCAGGGTTGTACGGCAGGGAACTGCCAAGCATCTTCCAGAGTGGCCACGCCATTGCTCGCCACCTGCAGGGAGGACAGTTTCTTCTCGGCCTTTGGTGGGGTCAGGCTCCGGAGTTTAGCCATCCTAGTAGGTGTGTAGGGACATACTCTTAATTTTTTTTCCTTAAATTTTATATGCATTTTCATTTGCTAGATCTGATGCAGGAACCCTCTGCAAGAGAGCCTCTGTGAGTGAGGACTTTCTTCTGGGAGTGGGAGCCCTGAAGGGTTTTAAGGGGAGGGACGTTTCAGCTTGGAAAGTGCCTTGGGCTGCAGAGGAGGGACGGGGTGCAGGAGGGAGTTCACATGTGCACTCGTTCTTTCATCCTTCCAGTATTTACTGGGGACCAGTCATGCGCCCAGCATCCTTCTAGGGTCGGAGGCCCAGCAGTGCACAGAGAACCAAACCCACAAACCCCCTGTGTCTGTGGAGCACAAGTTCCCAAGGGAGACGGACAGTGCCCAAGTAAACAAGTGGGATGTCGTGGATGCCTAGAGACAGGTGCTTCTCAAAGATGGAGAAACGACCTGGGGGAGGGTGACTGGAGGAGGGGACAGGACTGCAATTTTAAATGGGGTGGTCAGAGACACCTCCCTGAAGAGAGCACTTCAAGTGCAGGGACGGCGCGGGCAAAGCCTGTGGCCGAGCAGGCCTGTGTGCTGGCGGGGTGCGAGAAGGCCCACACTTTGCCGGGTGGGGAGTGGCATCTCCCCTCCCCCACCCCCTCATTATGGCATCTGAGTGAGGAAGGGGTCCCTAGAGGGCAAGAGCAGTGAGGAGACTGGGATCAAGAAGGGGCTCCTGGATGGGGGGCTGCTGTCCAGTCCCAGGTCCCCAAGAGCAGGGGGCTGGGCAGCGAGGTGCCCACTGACCTGCCCTGGGTGCCCTGGGGCCCCACTGCTGGAGCAAGGGAGCTGGGTTGGCTGGGAAGGGGAGAAGCAGGAAGGTGGAGGGGTCCTGGGGTGAGCCCTCCTCCCCACTTTATTGGTAGCTGTGACTGATTCTGAAGTGCTTTGTAAAAGCAAGCACTGCTACTGTCTTTGCCCTGTCTTAGCACAGGTCCCCACGTGGCAGGGGTGGTCCCTTCTGGTTTCAAGGCTTTGGATCAATGTCAAGTGATCCTGGGTGTGGCTGGTGATGTCAGGACAGCCCAGGCTAGGGCCACAGACTAGGAGGGTCCACCCACCCTCCCAAGCACCATCCTGCCTCTGACTCATAGTGGCTTTGAGTCTCTGGCCAAGCCACTGCCCAGAGCCATGGTCACCTGGCCTGTACATCAGGTCCAGAGTGGCTGGATGCACGGAAGGAGTGTCTGCCGTCCACAGCGAGGCCTGCGGGACTGGCGAGCACGCTTCAGATCTGCCCACCTTTGGGGCCAGCTGCTGGGACTATCCGAGAGCCTTGCCTGTTCCCGCCCTGGGGGCTCCTGGCACCTGTGTCGGGCCTCCCCTTGGCACTTCTGGTTCCTGGAGGCGAGGGCTGGTCATCTCCAACTAGGGTCTGGCATAGAGGAGGCGCTCGATGACAGACGGGGCTTGCTGTTCTACATAACCCATGCAAATCCAGCAGTAAAACACGGCGTCTCGTTTGTTTGTATTTATATTTATTTAGTTAAAAGTGTTTGCACTTTTTTATACATTTATTGGTCGTTTATATGTCTGATTCTGTCACTTGTCTGTTTATGTCTTTTGCTCATTTTTTCTATGGGCTGATTTGTGTCTTCCCCTAAAATTCATATGTTGACATCCTAATTCCTAAGCCTTTAAAGTGGTAATGAGGTTAGAAAGAGATCCTGAGGGTGGGCCCTAATCCAATATGACTGATGTCTTTATAAGAAGAGGACGTCAGGACACGGACATGTACAGGGACGACCACGTGAGGACACAGGGAGAAGACGGCCGTCGACAAGCCAAGGAGGGAGGCCTCAGCAGGAACCACCCTGCCACGTCTTGATCAGAAGGACATCCAGCCTCCAGGACTCTGAGAAAATAAATTCCTGTTGTTTCAACCTCTCGGACTGTGGTACTTTGTTACAGCAGCTCAAGGCAACTAATTAGGGTGTTAATGTTTTCCTTACACATTTCCAAGTGAATTTAATGGATCAGTTATATGTCCCATTTGACAAAATATTTTCTCAGTTTGTCATTGTCTTTTAATTTTAAAAAACAGCTTTGTTGAGGTATAATTGACACACAATAATTGCACATATTTAAAGTGTACGATTCAATTCGTCTTGACATATGTAGGTATGTGTGAAGCTGTCACCATTAGCAGAAAAATTCCCATCACCCCCAAAAGCAATCTGGTGCCCCTTTGGGATCCCCACATCCCTCCTTGTCCCCCCCAGTCCCAAGCAGCCAGTGACCTGGTTAGTTTGCATCTTTAGCATGTGATGTGGATGCAATCGTATAGTGTGTGCTCTTTCTTGCCTGGCTCCTTTCACGCTGCGTGACTGTTCCGAGACCACTATTGACGTAGCACGGATCCACCACGATCTGCTTATCCGTTCATCAGTTGATGGGCATTGAAGCTGTTCCCAGTTTTCGATCATTAAAAATAATGCTGCTGTTTACATTTTTGTCCAAGTCTTCGAAAGGATATACATTTCCTCTTCTCTTGGGGAGGGACCGAAAAGTAAAATAACTACATTTCCTCTTCTCTCGGGGAGGGACCTAACAGTAAAATAATTATATTTCCTTGAGTTAATTTTTGTGTGTAGTATGAGGTAGGAATCCACGTTTTTGTTTGTTTTGTTTTGTTTTGCATGTGGATAGCCAATTGTTTTTGCATGATTTATTAGAAAGCTATTATTTCTGCTTTGAATTGCCTTTGCACGTTTGTCGAAGCCCGTCTGCGTATGTGTGGGTTTATTTTCAGACTATTTTTTTCCCTTGATCTACGTGAATGGTTTTATACCGATACTACCCTGTTTTGATTACTCTAGCCTTATACTAATTCTTAGAATGTTAGCTCTTCAATTTTGTTCTACTTTTTCAGAGTTGTTTTGACTATTTCAGGTCCTCTGCTTTTCCATATGAATTTTAGAATTGGCCTGTTAATTTCCACAAATTTAGGAGAATTGACATTGTAACAGTTTGGAGCCTTGCAATCTACAAATACTGTGCATCTGTCCATTTGTTCGGGTCTTTAATTTCTCCCCGTAATGCTTTATGCTTTTCAGTGTGTAGGTCTTTCACAACTTCTGTCAGATTTCTCGCTAAGTATTGCATACTTTTTTACACTATTAGGAAGTAGTATTTTTTAAAATGTCAATATCAGATGGTTCATTGAGATTTTACAGGAATACAAGTGTCTGTGTATATATCCATCTTGTATCCTGCAACCTTGCTAAGCTCACTTATTAGTTCTTGCAGCTTGTTATGTGGATTCCATTGAATAAGATGATCAGGTTTTCTGTACATAAAATAGTTTTACTTCTTCCTTTCTCATCTAAAAGTATGGCTTTTATTTCTTTTTCATACCTGATTGCACCAGCAAGAACCTCCAGTATGACGTTGGATGGAAGCAAGAGAGAGCGCACCCAGGTCTTCTTCCTGCTCGTGGCAAGAAAATTTTCAGACTTTTACCATTTGTTCTGGGATTTTTACAGATTTCATGTATTAGGTTGATAAAGTTTCCCTCTATTCCTGGTTTCCTCCGAGTATTTTTTGGTTTGTTTGTTTTTAATCAGAAATGGATGTTGAATTTTTTTCATACCTGATTGCACCAGCAAGAACCTCCAGTATGACGTTGGATGGAAGCAGGAGAGAGCGCACCCAGGTCTTCTTCCTGTTCGTGGCAAGAAAATTTTCAGACTTTTACCATTTGTTCTGGGATTTTTACAGATTTCATGTATTAGGTTGATAAAGTTTCCCTCTATTCCTGATTTCCTCCGAGTATTTTTTGGTTTGTTTGTTTTTAATCAGAAATGGATGTTGAATTTTTTTCAAATGCTTTTTCTGCACCTATTGAGATGATCGTGTTTTTTCTTTTTTAG